AACTTGATGACACCTAGTTAGCTCAACCTCTCTTTTGCAGCAATGTCTGCATACATTTTTGCAAGGTCTTCGGCTCAGTCCATCGGCATTACCATGGGATTTTCCTTCTCTGTATTCAATATTATAATTATAACTGGTCTATTTTTCCAATCCAACGTGCTAGTTGTCCCTGTGGGTTCTTTAATGATCTTAACCAGCGTAACGCAGCATGGTCTGTCCTGATGGTAAACCTTGCACCATAGAGGTAATGATGGAAATATGTCAGACTCTTTACTATAGCAAGGAGTTCCCTCCATGTTACACAGTAGTTTCTCTCTGGTCTACTCAAAACCCTACTGAAGTAGACCACCACATGTTCGTTTTCGCCCACTTTCTGAGACAACACTTCTCCAATTCCGACATTACTAGCATCACAATCCAGTATGTACGGCAGTGAGGGATCTGGAAGCTTTAAAAGTGGAGCGGAGGCCAATTTTTCCTTCAACGTCTTGAAAGAATGCTGGCAAGAAACTGTCCATTCAAACTTTTGTCCTTTTTTAGTCAAATCATGTAGTGGAGCAGCTATAGTTGCAAAGTCCTTCACAAACTTCCGGTAATTGGTACAGAGTCCCAAGAAACTTCTTAACTCTCCCACATTGTCTGGTGTTGGCCAATTATGCACTGCTTTCACCTTATCAGGATTAATTCGCACACCATGCTCACTTACAATATGATCTAAGTGAAGCACCTCTTTCTGGAACAAGTGATATTTCTTGGGATGGAGTTTGAGGTTTGCTTGAATACTTGCTCTAGCTGAGACATTTCCTCATCAAACATTGTTGCAAACACGATGATGTCGTCCAGGCACACTAGGGCTATCCTCCATTGTAAGCCTTCCAGTACTCTTTCCATCAGCCTCTCACATGTCTCTGGAGCATTGCTAAGCTCGAATGGCATCACACAGTATCGACAGAGACCTTGGCCATAGCTAAATACAGTCTTTGGTTTATCTGCTTCAGCAATTTTTACTTGATGGAAACTCGACTTTAAGTCCAGAGTTGAAAACCATCTGGCTCCACTTAAAGCATTAAAGAATATCATCAATGCTTGGCAGCAGGTATGAGTCCTTTTTAGTTATACTCTTAAGAGCCATGAAGTCCACACTTGGTCCCATCCCATCCTTCTTCTGGACTAACACGACAGGAGCTGACCAGGGACTATCTGATTTCTCGACTATCCCTTCTTTAATTAGACCATCCATGACCTTCTCTATCTCTTGTCGCTTTGCTGGAGTTACTCTCCGCAGAGGAATCTTTATTGGACGGTGATTGCCTGTGTTTATTCTATGCTCCACAAGGTCTGTGCAGCCGAGGTTATGATATCCTTTCGAAAACACGTCTGCATAATTTGCCAAAAGTTCCCTAACCTGAAGAGCCTGTGATGATGACAAATGGACTATGCTCTTCTTATAGAGGTGAGTTAAATGTTCTGGAAGGGTATGTCCTTTCTTTATGGTTGTATTTCTTGCTTTAACATTGACTGGCACACACCCAACAATGCCCCTTCCTTAAGTGTCTGCTCACATT